GCCCTTCAGCGTGGAGTCGCTGCTGGAGGCGCAGCGTGGGCCGGGCCCGGAATCCGCGGAGCCGGCTGAGGAGAGGCCACGGGGTGCCAAGGAGCCGGGGGCCTGGTTCCCGCCCGCCGCCCACGCGGGGTCCCCTCCATGTAAGTGCCCAGCCTCACTGTCCCGAGCCGCGAGAAGAGTCCGCCGGCTTCGGCTTCGAGGACCAGGGCGGGACGGCTCACTAACTTTGCAAAGTATGTAACCACTAACGCACGGGCCTGCGGGCGGAGAAGACGCCTACCCGTCTGAGCCCACGGTTGCGCCCAGGCCCACTCCGGCTACCGCTGCCCCAGCGCAGTCCTTCCAGTCGGCCTGGAACGGGGTCCGCAGCTCAGGTCCGCGAGGCTCCTGGGATCCGGTCCCCTCCTTGTCCGGGAGCCCACTGCTGCTCGCGGACGCCTTTCGTCCGCAATCAGCCTCCCGGCACAGCAGGAAAGACCATTGCTCGGCTCTTGCTGAGGCCCGGTCGGGCCTCTGTCCTGGGTTCTCTCTCCCAAGTGGGCAGAGTCCCCTCCTCCACAGGCCGCAGGTTTGGGAAGCCCGTGTCCACAAGGCCCGCGCCGATCCCCAGCCGTCTCCCAGGTGCGTTGCTTCTCTCACCCCAGTGACTTGTGGGGTCTTACGGAGCCAGGACTTGCAGCTGAACCGGCGTTTGCAGGGAACCCGGAGTGCCGGGGACAAGAGCGCGCACTGCCGGCGTCTGAGCGCTCACGTTGTGATTCCCTTTCCTTCCAGGCGCCCGCAGCCCTCCGCCCTGCACCCTCCGGAAACACAAGACCAACCGCAAGCCGCGGACGCCCTTCACCACCGCACAGCTGCTGGCACTGGAGCGCAAGTTCCGGCAGAAGCGGTACCTGTCCATCCCTGAGCGCGCCGAGTTCTCCAGCAGCCTGCGCCTCACCGAGACGCAGGTCAAGATCTGGTTTCAAAACCGCCGGGCCAAGGCCAAGCGGCTCCAGGAGGCCGAGCTGGAGAAAATGAAGCTGGCGTCCAAGCCACTGCTGCCCTCGTTCGCGCTGCCCTTCGCCCTGGGCGCGCACCTGCAGGCTTCCCCGGCCACGTACGGCGGCGCGGCGGGCGCCCTGCCCCCGGTGCCCGGGCTCTTCGCCACGCCCGTCGCCGCTTACGGCATGTACTACCTGTCCTAGGGCGTCTGGTCCCAGGGACCAGCACTGCCCCGGCTATGGCGCAAGGCTGCGGGGTGTTGGTCCCTGGCTCCAGGACAGAGGCGGGTGGGAATCATAGGAACTGCGCCGTGGCCCCGCGGGTGAGCTGAGCCTGCGGGCGGAACCTCGAGGCGTTTCGTTATTTTTGTGGTTAACCCTCAGCTGTAGTTGATCCCCAATACCTGTTTGCGAGTATGTAACAGGTATTTTAATTTTTTTTTTTTTTTTTTTAAATCTTGTTCCGATCAAGCTGTTTGCTGACAGGCGTTATACTTAGTCGGTACTGGGTCCTCAGACGACCAGGGCAAGCCTCCCGTTTGTACAAAGCAGCCAGTAGAGTATTTTAAGGTTTACTCCGCCGACATGCTTCTGGCTTTCACCAAGGATGTTAAGGAAGAAGGTACCAGGTCGTTTGGACTGCAGCAAGTAACTAATTACCGCACTCTCTGGTAGCATTGTGCCTAAGGCACTTGACTGCTAACCAGGAGGCTGGAGGTTCAAACCCACCAGTCACTCCTCGGAAGGAAGGTTGGGCAATCTACTTCCGTAGTGATACTGCCTCGGAAACCCCTTGATACTGCTTCGGAAACCCAAGGAGGGGTCGCTATGAGTCGGGTCTGACTCGATGGCACATAACAAAAACAACAGCTGAAATGTTATTTATGAATTACTTTAACTAATCTGTCACCGTCCTAGTTAGCTCTGTTTCCAGAGCAGAACCTTTGATGGAATTTTTTGCAATTTGCTTTCTCAATAGAGAACGTTTAGGAAGCCCCTGGCAAAATGCTGCCTGCACGGAGCCATGGTTAGAGGTGCTCCCTGCCAACAGCTGCGCCCTGTGCTGCCCATGGGGCCCCTCACTGGGACTCACGGGGGGGGGGGCTGTTGTGGCGACTGGCACGGAGCACAGTGCCTCCCGCAGCCAGTGTCTGGCCTGGGAGGAGGAGAAATCGCTGTGAGCCGCGCTCTGTGCCCCAGAGGCTAGATGGCTGAGACCAGGTAACGATGCTGTGGCCGGTGACTTTGGTTATCCCACACAGCCTTGCCCTAACTTGCCCGGGATAACCAGGGACAGCTGGTTACCAGCCAGCTTCCTCTTTGCCTGCAGTGTTCCGAGTTTACTTAATCCCAATCAGCCACCTTTACCAGAGGCTGGGGGAAGGAAAAAGAACAGGCGGGCCTTTAGGATGGTCTGTCCTTGGGCGGCCCCTAAACCTTGGGTTCAGAACTGGAGACCCTCTAGAGTGCCTGACGCCACAGGGTAAGAAAGTTCATGGGCCACTTTCCACGTTAGCTTCAGCTACAGCCACCGACGTTACATCCTGGCGTTCTTGCTGAGCAGGACAGTGTTGTCTCCCGGTGTCAGCCAACGCTGGACTGGGCCCTGGGCTGGGTTAGCCACCCCTCCCCCCCCCTCTGGCCTTGGAGTGGAGAGGAGGAGGTGGGCTGCACTTCGTGTTGTTGGCTGTGTGGACACGGGACCAGAAATTCGACCCAGGGAGAGGTGATGCTGGAGGGTGGAGTGGATGGCGTGGGGTGACTGGTGGCATGGGACGGCAGGAAGAGTGTGCAGAAAGCTCTCGCAGTAACTGCAGACCTGTCGGTCCTTCCACTGGAATCCCAGGGCTGGAAGCTACGCCTCTGCCCATGCACCTGCATTAAACTGTGGCCCAGGACTTTGTGGATGTTCTCCATTATTCCCTGGAAAAGTGAAAGCTCATGCTTGGACTTTTAGGGGAAAGTGAAGTCAGTTCCTGAAACTTGAGCATCTGATGAGAAGATCGAGGGGAATCCCCACCCTCTTCCACAGCTGAGAACCCCAAAACTTCAGCAGTTTGAACCCAAAGCTCAACTCCAGCCCCTCTTCAAGGAGATGGACCTGCTGGGGACAGGGAGCCCCAGGAGAGGCCAGGGTCTCGGAGACCATGCTGGCACTCCACCTCCAAGAGCGCGCAGTGGATTCTGACGAACAGCGCCCCTAGAGGACAGAGCAGAACTGCCCCACAGGGTTTCCAAGGCTGTCGATCTTTACGGAAGCTGACCCTCTCATCTTTCTCCCGTGGAGTGGCTGGTGGGCTTCGGCTCACAGCTGAGCACTTTAACCAGCACACCACCAGAGCTCCTCTTCCAGGCCAGGTGAGTCTCAGGTACTCTGATGCTCTTCTCAAATCTGAGGCCCCAGGTCGCTGGCAGTCTGGACCAGGTTCTACAGCCCAGGTGAGCCTGCCTGATGCCAGGGGCATCTTCGTGATTTGGGGGATAGTAAGCCAAAGCTACCGTTTCTTACATGTGATGTGGGCAACAGCATGGGTTGGCTGCTCCGGGTCAGGGCAAGCCAAATCCCCGTAACTCCAGACCGTTCTGAGGCCCCAGTGTCAGGTCACATCCTGGGAGGGGCAGGGGGTGTGCTCGCTCACGGTGTCTGATATCCTCATGCTGGGCCAGCTGGGGGCGCCTTCCGGGGCTACTGGTGCCCACCTGCACCAGCCTTGCCTGCTGTGTGTGTATGTGTCTGTGGGGGGGTACCCCCTCCCCAGGCCAGGAGTGGATCCAGGCCACAGGCCCTGTGCCACAGAGACCACGCAGGGGGTGGGGCCAGCCTCAGGAAATTCACAGTTATTTCTGGTGAAGGGCTCCTGCAACTCCTGCTGTCCACCCAGCCTGCCTCCGCCTCGGTTTTTCTTTTTATTATGGGAACTACCAAGCACATACAGAAAAAGAATACGTGTGTTAGATAGCGATGATGTGTGTATGTGTTCATGGACATATGTGTGTGTCTGCAAGTCTGCTGGGTTTCTGATGATGTTTACGTTGAACTGTAGATCAATCTGGGGAGCATGACCATCTTAACAATGGTAAGTCTTCTAATTCATGAAAATGGGGTATTTTTCCAATTATTTAGATGTTAAATTATTTCAACCATGTTCTGTAGCTTTTAGTGTATATGTTTTGTGGTGTAATGCATCACTTTTACAAGGCCTTTCTAGCCATGGTCTTGCAACTCTCATTAAATAACTGGCTATTGTTGCTGTTAGTGGCACCTCATAGCGACCCCAAGTACAACACAACAAAACACTGCCCAGTCCTGTGCCAGCTTCACGGTCACTGCTATACCTGAGCCCACTGTGGCAGCCGCCATGTCAAATCCATCTTGCTGAGAGCCTTCCCCTTTTTCGTTGACCCTCCACTTTACCAAGCCTAAAATTATTCTCCAGGGAATGGTCCCTTCTGACAAAATGACTAATGTAGGTGAGATGAAGTCTGGCCATTCTCGTTTCCAAGGAGCATTCCAGGTATACTTCTTCCAGGACAAATTTGTTAGTTTTTTTAGCAGTCCATGGTATTTTCAGCATTCTCCGCCAGCACCACAACACAAAATCATCAACTCTTCTTCGGTCTTCCTTATTCATTGTCCAGCTTTCACATGCATATAAGGTGATTGAAAATACCATGGCTTGGATTGTTGTTGTTGTTAAGTGCC